GATCCCAAAAACGAAGAAGTTTTGATCCTTACGGGCGGTCCACGCCTTGACATCGGCCATCAAGTCATCCAAATCGACGTAACTTCGATTTTCTAGCCATTTTTACGATGAACGGTTGACGAGATTATCCATCAAAGTTTCCGCTGGTGAATATGGCAGATTTAGGGTCAGATCCCATTTCTTGGTAGGTTCTGGCTCATTGTTCGATCGCCGAAAAGTTACTGAGATCGCGGAATGACTGCGCCACCTTCCAATCTTTCTCGAAGTAGTTAAGCCTAATTTCGCGAATATGCGGATGGCTTTTTGAGTATATTCTTGTAGGGGAAATCGAGCAGAACATTTCTAGAAAAAAACCCGAACTCAATATTCAAATTCTATCTAGAGAAAAAAGGCCGCGAAAAAATCCGCAATAATTATGCATCAACCTAATAGTATAGGATAGCAACCGGCTTCCAAATGCTGTCACACCTTCCTATGACTGAACATGATATGAGAAAGCAGGGCAAGGGTGGTGTTGAAGGCGTGTGGCGCTTTACACACACGTATGGTCGAAGGTTCGAGTCTCGGATAGACGCTTACGCCAAGCGGTCTTCCATCCCTCCGGATTGGTTAATTCCTACAGGATTCGCCAGGGAAGGGGAAAGCATTGAATCATATAGGCCACACAGGCATTTCTGGCCACTACGATTCCTAATGAAGTCGTTTGAGGGAGCGCGTTTCGCAAAAGGGATTAATTAACGCCAAAGATTTGATACTTCATGAGAAAGTAGTGTCAAAGTTGAGCCAGGAAAGGTAATAAAACAGGAGATATCGTTGGATGTGAGGCACTGAAGATAACTGGAGCACCCAATTATTCTCGTTTTCCTCCTTCACCCTCTTGGTGTGATTGCAAATGGAATCAACCCTAATCTGCTGTTAGATAAGTTGGAATGAAATCCTTCAATTTCTCCGCCGTGTTAGGGAGACATAAGGCTCCATCGTTCATTTTTTCACCACATATGAACGAACAATCATGTCCACTGCCATTAGTGGCTTATCATTCACTAAAGGCTCGTAGGCTTAATTCTCGAAATCTTATTCGCAGGCAATTTTTGTGAGTGCCTTACAGGAAATGGTTTTGCTTGCAACTCCAGAAAGAAAACAGCTAGATATTCGCTGAACTCACTATCAAGACGCCTCGATCAATGTTTAAAGAATGCTGATTAGATCTGTCAGTTGTCCATCAGATAGCTTGTCCATCTACCAAAACACGATTAATCAATGTTTGCATGCGAAAGGAACGATAAGTGCATTCCGCCGGTATATCATGTACAGCGAGTCAGTTGGTCGCTATGAACAAATTACTGATGCAGAAGTGGCAATCAGGTGCGGCCTCAGCAGCGAAGGTGTCCTCGGATGGATTATGGGTGACATTGAATTCAACGGTGTACGAGACCATCTTGAGATACAGTTCGCGATTGAATCGATTTTGCAGTTTAGGAATCGTGAGAAAATCTCGGCTCTTGAGGAATCTATGACTATGGCTGTTCGTATGCATAAAGACGAAGCGAAAATAACGCAGTCGGGCAAGTAACAGGCACCACCTGGCTACCAAACTTTAGGCTTCCAGTGCACCAACGCCGAACCACATTTTTCTCCCTAACAACGTCTAGCGATGGTGGTGTAGTGACAAGTGGTGCACTATCTCACACGCACGGTCAGGAGTTCGAATCCCAGATCGCGTTCCACGTTCCGCCTAGGCCAACTAGGCCTTCCATTCTTCCGGGGTCGGTTAATCGGTAGCAGACTCGTCTGGGAGGATAAAACGTGGACTTTTACGTCGGCTGACCACCGCAAGTCATTGTATAGGCCACATACGCACTCATACCCCACTACGATTCTGAATGGAAGTCGAGTGGGGGAACATCCCTCAGACGGGACGATGAACGTCAAAACTTTATCCTTTATCCTTTATCCATAACAACGTCTTGCTAACATTCTGCCTACAGCCTCGCCTAGTCGCAGTACACTAAATTACTGCCTAACCTATTGTATGTCATGTGATGGTAATGATACCATAAAAGAGAGGGAAAGTTTAAAAGCCCATTCTTTGAGGGTTATGGTCCTACCAATGTCAAATATGATTGAAAAGCACTGTTGAAGAAGTTGCTGATGCAGTGACACAATCATGAAGAAAAAACCAAGTAACCATCAGTGCTGACGACCATCCAAATTGTTCCCAAATGCACTGTTAGCAGCAACAACCAGCAGTTTGGGCCTTGCTTTTCTTTGAACACAACATGGGGTGATTTCCTCGGAGAGCACTTTACTTCAGTAAAAATTTTCCCACAAGAAAAGGAAAACTTGAAGCAATCAACTTCAACTGAAAAAAGGCAAGCGTCAAAGAATTTACCGAGTGATATTTTCATTTCAGGTGGCTTCTATATTCTTTCTGTTTTTCCTTGGCGGCTATTATTTTTATGTGAATATTTTTCATAAGGAGATAGTTATAGGTGAGTTTTTTAATCATATTTATTTTAATTATTTTTACTTTTTACTTAATCACCTGTCATTTAGAAGGCCTTGAATCTCGATAAGCTCCCATTCGTAAACTAAACATAAATAACAACATATTAACATAAACCTGCGAAAATGATCGTATACCTGGTTTTCTGAGTTGGAGCCATCCTACCACAATCATTCAGACGTTTCGAAGTTGCTCAGCAGAAATAATAAGCCTGAATTACTAAGTCGCCGACTACATACATCCCTTGTTTAGAGCCTGAAGTTTCTCGGACAGGTTGCTCCAACGAATTGATGTGTAGGATTATTTAGAAAAATTGTTAAGAATGATTGTAGTTCGTCTCAATTGCATAGTTGCCTCGATAAATGACAATCAGCTGTAGCTACAGTACATGATCGCTGTCTATTCGATTTCCTATTTCCATGAGCTGATCAGCTTAAGATCTATAGGGTCAAAACGTATTGTGTACGGATCGTTTACTGTTTTCGAGCACTAGCTTTTATAGCATTCATAGCTTTTCTGATTCCGATTAATCTGCGTGTTTTCGAGGGACTTCCTCTCGACCATGGATCCATGAAACAATTTGTTTCATAAAACCAATGCTAGCTTCTGTTTTTTTTCTGATTTTTTTCTGGGCACTTTAAAAAGGCTTGACTTGCAATAGTCCAATCAAACAGTTTAGATATTGTCCTTCTGATCGTTTGTCTTGGTTTTTTTGAAGTCATAAACCGTCTCGCTCTCGTCTCCACTTTTTTGCATTTGATGGGCTTTCCAATATTATCTAAAACTCGCTAACGAACAACCATGGTCAACTGCGATTGCACCTGAATTCGGCGTTGTGGGAACCATTAATCGAATGAAAAAAAAATTATAGCATGGGTGAGTAAGGTGTGGTCCATTTAAAAATGAGATAATAATTATTATTACGGTTTTTTAAAATGAACCACACCTCACTCACCCACTCATTCAATTGAATAATGATAATAATTTCAACTCTCTGTCTTGAATGTAGAGACTAGCTGGGTTGGCGTATCAACATTCAGTAAAGAAAAGTCCGGGGCCATGAAAACAACCGCTTTTTTTCTATTTCAGCGGCATTTGGCGATAAATTCGATGATTACTCGTGGATTGCTCACTTATTAGATGTATTATTGCTTCTCATTCATTATTGGCAACTAGGTGTCATCTCGAAATGCCGTCGATATTACAAGTATGTACTACTTGAGGATAAACGTGAGTCAGCTACTATTATTCTCATAATTACTGATTTTCAATCTCCGGGCCGTCCAGATTGGTTCCGATTGGGGGCATATACTGAGGGAAATAAAGGGAACTGAAACTTAGTAGATGGGATGTTCGATTTTTTAATCGTGCTGACTAATCCGTAAATTTTTTTTTCATTTTCTTCAGACTGGAAATGATACGAAAGGGGTTTGACGCTATAAGGATATTAAGAATCTAGTGCCCGTATTAGGCTCACCCACTCGGTGTAAACAAACCCTTTGGCCCGAGGGATTAATAAAAGCGCGTTGTGCCTTGGATTACAGGAAATGATTAGCTCAGGATTCACCAAAATACTGGCCGACACAAAGTAATGATCAAAGGTTATAATTCAGATGCTATAAAACAACGATTGATGAAATCCATTTCAGAGCCACTTGAAATGCAATTACGGAGTGAAACAAATGACGAGATTACATGATCTGCACATGTACCGATGTATATACATAAGCAATAAAATATTTTTTAATCATTTGTTGTACATGTTATCATACATTGATATGTAAGGAAGTGTTCTGAGCGGTACATCAAAATTTTATATACATAGGGTCCTTTGATAGGAAACAAAATAATTCTGCTGAAAAGTAACGCATCCTTTAGCATCGTTTGGAGAATCCTACATCCTGTCGCGCTCGGTTTATCTTGACCTGTCGTTGCATTTGGATGTGTATGTGTGTGTTGTGTATGTGTACATACAGTAGCGACCAAAAGTCCTCGATGAAATGGTTCTTCAGCCCTACTTTTCAGTCGTAATCCCTTTCCTACTGGATCTAATCATGCGAAATTTCTATATTTGAGCGTGGGTGTATTGTGGATATTTACCACTATGAACCTTCAATCTGATCATGTTCCAGATATTTCAAAAAGCATGAACTCTCAAAATCGACTGAAAATGCAGATGATGATCTTCTAGAAGCTCCTTCCTTTTTGCCATGTCTAAAATATACGAGCGGTAATGTCGAACACAATAGATGAGAAAAGCGCCCATAAGGTGCGAATAAGTGCAGACGTCAACAACTTTACTTTTAACAAAATCTGCTACCGCAACAAACACCTTGCTCTATCTGTGGATATTGCAGCTTTGCTGTCAAAAGTGTTGGGTAGAATGAAATATGCCCCAGTTAAACATATCCAAATTTTGCGAGATTTGGTCTACTAAGAAAAAAGTTATGAACGAAAAAGCGTCAAAGCAT